TCACCGTCATCACGTCGTACGCCCTCGCCCACGCCCCCTCCCCCACCCCCTCCCCCGGCCCTGTCTCTTATACACATCTAGATGTGTATAAGAGACAGCCCCTGGGCCCTGCGCCATCACCTCTGCCGTCACCGTCGCCTCTATCATCGCCTCTGTCGTCAGCCGCTATCATCGCCCGTGGATGCATGTGTTCCCGACGCAAAGAAATCGTCGTCGTTGTTGGATGTGCTGTCGAACAAGAAGTCACCCTCGTCCCAACGCATGCGGGCCCTGCGAATGCAACCATCCGTCCGCTATCGCCGAGTCCGAGGAGCGGAACCCGCATCGCCACGTGTTCGTTCTCCGACACCTTCTCGTCCACGGCCGCCACGTCCCCGACCATCGGCCCTGCGTCGCCTCCTGTCCGACTCCGCCACCCGACGCTGGGCTCCCATGCGGGAAACGGTGCGCATCGTCTCTCTGGCGAGGTCGGTCATTCTGGCCAGCGCACCGGTGCGTCTGACGAGCTGCTGGTCCACGGCTGCCTCATCGTCCACGGCCTGCCAATAATGCACCCATTTCTCGAAGACGCCGGGCCTCTCTCCAACACCATCGTCGCACAATGAAGGTCGATCGAGTAGCCTGAGGTTCCAGTGGCACCGCACAAGCTTCTCAGCCCGGGGAACCTGCAACTTGTTGCGAGACTTCGAATGAATGAAGCTCCAACGAGACCAGGCTCTCTCGCACGGTGATGCGGTCGACCATATACGAAGGATCCTGCTTGCAAAGAGGGCCGTGTGAGGGAACTTCGCCTTCTTGGAGACCAAAAACTGGCAGGGTGATCATAGATATCCACAGCTCGCCGCATGGTGAGCTCATCGAAAGGGGGGTCCCTCGTGTGGAGCTTGGCGACCGCTCGTTGGACCTCCCGGTGCTGCGGCGAATCCTCCGGGTAGCCGAACTGTACCAGGGCCTCGACCAAGGCCTGTTGCACCTCCGCATTGTCACACAGCGTCGGGTCCCGGAACTCTGGATCTAGCAGCATGGCTGCCGTGTGGGCGGGGGTCTTGAACATGGTGCGCCGCCTGTGGAAAACCTCGACAATAGCGTCTTGCTGGTCCCGGTCAATGTCACGACATGCAGATAAACAAGACGCAATCATCTCCTCGTACCGTTGCAGAATCTTGCTGATTTGGCGTGTGTCGCTGTCCACCAACTTCAGCATGTCCATGATGGGCTCGAGCATCTTGCACAGAGATCTCAAATCCTCCCACCATGGAGGGGAGCCGATACACGCAGTGACCTCCGCGGCGTCCTTGCGGCTCTTGCTGGTCGACCAAACAGTCTCATGGCGCTTGAAGAACCGTATAATCAGCCTCGCTTGCGCGATGCGGGAGGCCACCCAATCAATCCCGCCGATGTCCTCGAGAATGAGGTCCATGATGTGGGCGACGCAAGGAATCCAGAAGATGTGTTTCACGCTTTCATCTTTTTGGAATACCTCCATCGCCGCAACGTTCACCCCGGCGGAGTCCGTCACGAACGCTGTGATGTCGCTCAATTGAATGTCCATGGACTTCACTCTTTTCAACCATGCGTTCGGGAGGGCACTGGCGTTCTTTTTGCCGCGCATGACGTCGGTGGCCACATACACTACCCCGATCTCTATCCCAACAAGGTAGTTGCACAACGTCTGGCCACAGATGTTGGTCCAACCATCGGTCGAACACACTTCTGGACCTCACCATCCAGCTCGTCCAAAAGGGTCGTGCGCAACATGTGGTAGGAGGGAAGTCTAGGCACGGCCGCCCCCGGAACCCCGGCGGGATTATCATCGTGAACATGCGTTTGAAGCTTTCAAGCTTCGAGCAGTTGAACGGCATCCCGCTCTCGACGATGAACCGCATGATTTGCAGATGCCACGCGCGCTCCAAAGGGTCCGAATAATATGACGTGACGGCCTGCTGCCTGTAAGTGCCCCGACATCGTCCCGTCGTGGCTCTCCCGCCGAGGACCCCAACATCCAACAACACGCCAGGACTCGCAGGTGCCGCGCTCTGGGCGACTGCAAGGTCGCGAATGCGATGCAAAGGGTCCAACGATCCGGTCAACACGGGTGGAGGCTGTGGGGCAGAACGACCACCACCCGTCGTTGTCGGAATCGGGGTCGGCGATGAATCGGACACCGGAGCGGGGACCTCCTCGGCAGGCACCCCATGATCCGCCTGTTCCCGAAAACAAGGCACGGAGGCAGATTGTCGAGCATCTGCTGGTGTGTGTGACGGATCCGGGAGGGCGGTTGCATGAGCCTGGTGGACCACTGGACGTTGCGCCGCTCGCGACGGGGGCGGTGGCAGCCAGGGGTGCTCCGATGAACCGCGGGGCGATGCGCCAGGCGCCACCGCAGCACCAACCCGTGCGGCATCTGACTGTCTAGCACCCCTGAACACAGGGGCGAGCACGGTTGAACTGCCGACACTCCCCCCCCACCTGCGACTCTCAATAAAAGCACGTGTGCTGTCCTCGTCAAATGCCGCAGTGCCCGCGCTATTCCTCACAGTCGGGGGCTCGTTGGCTGGCATGGAACGACCAACTTCCACATCGCGAGCACCTCGTGTCACAACCAGCGGCGCAGACGTCGGGGCTGTCGGTCGTGTTGCAACTGTTGTTGCAGGACGCGCTGTCGTGACTCGAATAGCCGGAGTCCCAGAATTGGGCGATGCGACTGGTTCTGAAGGAGCGGTGGCAGGAACCGGCGGTGGCACTGCGTCCTTGGGGAATCGAAGAGGTGGCCACTGCAAGCTCGGATGGCCTGGCAATAAGCTCTGCAACGTTTCTATGGCCGACGCGAACTCCTTCGGACATTTTGTCATGTCCTTCGACCAGATCGCATTCCACACAGCAGGAGTGGCTGCCTCACAACGGAACTTCTCGCTCTTCGAGAAGTGTTCCTTGGCGGCTTTAACACCCCCACAAATCGAACGCCCGCACAACCTGCACAGGCATCGACGACCTCACTTCCTACCCGCCGCCGTCGACCCATCCAAGTAACGTCCTCTGGCTACGAAATACCACACTTGGTCGTCCCTCTTGCCGTCGACTTTCGGGTCGACCTTGAACGGCGAGTCAAACGTCTTCGTGTTATGACCTTGTCGGGCGCTTGTGGACGAGTCTATCGGTTCCTTCCCCTGGTCTTGTGATATGATGAAAGCCTCTACCCGCGAGAAGAAGACGATGTCGGAACCCTCTGAGAATGTTGGCAACTCGCGACAGAGATCGAAGTCGGCAGTCAGAGCGGCAAAGACATGCTATGAAACGGGGAAAAACAACGAACGCAAAAGTGCAGAACACCTGGATATCAAAGGGAAAACACAAAACGACATGAAACGCAAAAAAAAAACAACCAAAGAACAACGAATAAAACTTAGAACTTGGAGGGGGAAAAAAACGCGATGTTCTCTGTCCCTTGCAATGAAGGAAAAAAAAAAAAAAAAAAAAAAAAAAAAAAAAAAAA